ATTTCTAGTCTAACCTACCCACGTTGTGAATTGATCTAGGCAGACGAAATCAATCAGTCGCTGGGCCGTACTGCAAGCCGAGTTCGAACAAGGGCGATATCGCACAAGTATGTGTAAAAGAAAAGAAAATAATAACTCGAAAAGTTCAAATGTGTTAAAAAAAGGATAACAATACTTTATATCTGGTTGCTGAGTACAGGAGTGAGTCTTCTTCCCAAACCCGTTATATGGATTCGTGACACTTTGTGTTTGTTAGGCGAGTTTTAACATCTCAAGTTGTTTGTTCTTTTAAGTTCTTGGTGTGTCTTCAGGCGAAATTCGTAAAACTTGTTGCATCTCACGGCTTACCATTGTCCAGGAATGAATGTTAAACGTCTTACATCTTAACTGTGAGACAATCTATGCATTAGAAACGCCGCTCTTCATCTACTTTAAAGAAGGCCAACGTCGTTTCATCTGCTGGGAAGGTGATAGCTTCAGTATTTCGGGATGCAAAAGGCATTTTGTCTATTCAAAATGGCCACGTCATCAATGGAGAGTACTATGCCAACTTTCTGAGACAGTTACAAAAGGCTATCAAGTCCAAACGACCAAAAAAGAAAAATGACGAAATGGACCTTGTTTCATCAGGACAATGCATCGGCGGGCAAGTCCTTGGTTTCAATGGCTGTTTGGTTGGGAACCAGTATTGCAGTGATGATGACGTCATATCTGGTGTTGATGACATTTTGACTAACAGAATTTCATTCTGTTAGTCAAAATGGGATCCAAACTGTAACACCGATGGAAGAGGTGCGTGAACCGCAATAAACCTCATTTGATCACATTCAATGAGTGTATCTTGGCCAGCCTATAGACATTTCAGCCGACCTTCGTATATCAAAAACACAGGCTGCGAGAATTTACATGAAAACGCTTAAATATATGTAAACCTCTGAGAAATCTCCTGAACCCTGACATCGATCTATCTCGTTTCGCCACACTGTCCGAACACCAATTTCAAGAGTCAGCACGCTCATCTGCCCAGTAGGAGACACGGTGGAATAATGGATAGCGGCTCGGATTTAGGAATCGGAGAGTCGAGTTCAAATTCTAGTGAGATCCATTGCATTCACTTACGTGCTGATACACTTGGGAAAGGTATGAATCCTCTTCTTCACTCCCCAGCTATGGGTAAATAGCAGAACAGACTGGGTTCTATAGCTTTGGATGGCAACCGATCTAGGAAAAAGTAACTCTGTATTTAAAACCGTATGTAGCATATACAGCTACAGAAAGGATGGTTCGCATTGGAGCAATAATCAAGACTACGAATGATGATGTTGATGATGATGATAAGAAAATTTCCACTGTAATTCTCCGTTCTCGGACCTAACTCTTATCGTTCTACATTATGAAAGATCTAAAGAAGGTTTTGCTTGAAAAATGGCTCGAAGGAATTCCTCTTCCAGAACAAGTTAATTCCTCGACATATTAAAAAGCTTTGATTGATGCCAATGTTGGACTAACTCATTTACCAGTAATAAAAACTTTCATTAAACAAGATGGTGCATTTTGCAGCAGCAAATCAAAAACGGCTTCCTTCTTCAGACATCACTGAAACTGATAAAGTAGGTTTTATCTGTTCAGAATTTGTATGAGTCAATTCAATTACTCGGCGAATTAAAGCTTTGATTGATGTCAAAGATAGACCAACTCCGTATTAAATAATAAAACTTCCATTTAACAAGGTGCTTACATTTATTTTATTTTATTTTTTGTCTTACTTCTGTAGTTGGGCGTAATGCCGAAATCGACGCTTTCCTACGAATGTCAGACGGAACATGACATTTGTGATATGCTGTTCTTGTTCTTAAACCTAACTGCTGTTCTTTCGAAAGAATTTCAGAAATTGTAGCCATCAATTTTTGCTTATGATGCTGATCTGTCTCTAAACATACTCATCTTGAACCGGTAAATTCCTTGTGGGTTGATTGATTGATTTCTTTGTTCAGCCGTATATTAACACCTTATAGGTCATTTAATGCCAAAATTTAATTTTTTGTGAGCTTTGAAGTAATAAAAATATATGTTATTCTGCTTTCACAATTGAATACATGGTAAATGATACTCAGTGTTTGGGTATATACATGTTTGTATGGATATAATTACTAGAGGCGGTGATATGTGTGTTTTATATTGTAGTTTTGTCTAAGTTATATTTTTTAAGAATTTGTAGGATATTATATGGATGAATGTCATGAAAGTGTTCTTTCATGTTGGTTGTTTGATTGATTTCGTTTCGCGGCATATCAACATCTCTATGGGTTATTTAATGCCGAAATCTAAATATTTTGAACACATGTGGCTTCAACTAAATATATTTTGAACATAAATGTATACCTTCATCTACAGATAAAATGTATTGTTGGCATAAAAATTATAAAATTATATTTTTGGTAATTTTACTGTAAATAGGTATTGTTGATAATTTTTGTTTATAAAATATGTATTCCCTGTATTTTTACTAGAAAATGTATTTTTATACCTTCATAGCGTTTTGTTTTTGTTTGGATTCAATATTTGCCCATAGCTGGGATCCTAACAGGTGTTAGCACCTCGGATCAGTGTAGACCTGCGAACAACAGCAATTAAAAGGTGGTTCCATGCTCCTCAGAACCACCAATTTCCCATTCAGAGGCCTTGCTGCCAGGTATAATTTATCGTCATACTCAGGACTAATTACTTGTGGAATATTGGATTACATTTTAACCATGATAGGTGTTGCTGCTGTGGCAGCGACTGTTTTCACGGTGTGGAGTTGCTAGCCTCACTCCCAACACCTTCTCCTCGTCTTGTTGCCATTAAGTCTAGAGAACAAAGGCCACCTTGTCTCCCCTCCATGCTTGCATTGACCGATTTCCAGAAAACCAAGTGAGCTTTATCCAACTTACAACGGTTAAAACGTTGTGACGAAGCTGACGAGAACAAATCAATGTAAAAAAGTATCCTGTGATATAAGATACGATACCCTGACCAAGAAACAAACATTGGCTCTATAATAATATGAAAATAAAAAGGCCACGTTGGGTATGTTTGTCTGTGTTTGAATAAGTAGCGCTTGGCACAAATTAATTGAATTCAGTAATAAAATATTAGCGTCAATATCATAACAATAAATCTATAAAGACAATGATTCATAATAGAAAATTAATATTGCTTTATTGAAATCGTTGGTTTATCGAGTCTGTTTTTATTTATCATATTTTACCAGAGGTGCAAAATTTCATAAATACGATAAGAATGGACATATTTAATCAAACAAAATGAAAGAATGAGAAAAAAAATATATAGTTATTGTAAACTGAAAAACGGAAAAAAAGGACAAAAAAAATACTTAAATGTTTTTCATTCATCTGCCGTCAGAACTCTATCGAGAACGAAAAATATGCACGGTGATAATCATTAAAGGCTGATAACATTAAAGTCATCCCTTCTGCTCGCAGGAACGTCTTTATATAGTTTATAAGATTTGTAGGTGGAAATGTGAATGAGCCTTCCCCAGTACTAAGAACATATCTTAGCTATGGAGCAGGACTCACTGATGGTTAATTAACAAATGCCAACAATCGGAGAGCCGAATGCATTGACGCACCTATGTAAATTATTCCAATATTCTTTCCAAATATTGACTAGTACGTGTTGATTTATTTTTACTTCCAACCTTTGACACGCTAGACCTATATACTATTTCCACATTATGGAAATTTCGATTTCAAGGTCCTTGTATATTGATAGTTTTTGAAGATCTTCAAAGATACATTGCACTCTGCAGAAACTGCCATATCAATAAAGAGGTACATTGTTGGTTTGCGGTTTCTAATAACAATGTCTGGGTGGGTTAGTTTTGATTTTTCTGTATGTGTGTATTGTGTAGTCCCATAAAATTGTTATAGGGCCTATTTTCCGTAACCGGGTCTTGATGATGTTCATACCAAATGTTGTTGTTATTATTATTATTATTATCTGCATTATGAATCATATCACTACCCACTGTTCACAAAATAGTGTTCTCTTTTTATATTTTTAGAAAATGCGACGAAAATATTTTGTCTAAAGTATTCATTGTACATTAATTTGTTTATCCGGATTCAAATCAAGAACAAAGATGGCGGAGAGGAGAAATGGTTATCGGCTGATTATAAATAATCTCTCAGTGCTGGAATCAAATCCTGTCGTTGATGATTTTTTGTAGACAACGAAAATTCACCGGAGGAAAAATTATATAAATAAATGTGCAAACTTGTACTTTGTGTATTAAATTAATTGTACCTTTTTTTTATTCAGATGAAATACTATTTGGTTTCCCAGGATTATTTACTAAATTTTTCAACTCTCACTATCTATCTATCTATCTATCTATCTATCTATCTATCTATCTATCTATCTCTCTATCTCTCTCTCTACACACACACACACACACGCATACATATATATATATATATATATATATATATATATATATATATATATAAACAAAGATAAAGCATATAACATCAATCAGCTTAGTGACAAATTTTATTTTTTATTATTAGGGCTTCCATTATTTTTAATCTTTTTTACATGTGGATGAGGTTATTATGCTTGTATTTTCCTACTAGTATGTTTCGTATGTCTGGTAAGTTGTGTGTGTGTGTGTGTGTATAAATGAGTCCTAATGGAGATAGGGTCGGGTAGGTGTAACGTAAGTCGTCTGGATAAGCATGTAGTAGTTTGACCGATGTAAGTATTTATGAGTTTGGTTTGATCACTCTGATATATATCAGACTGATCCTGTCTATCTATGTATCTATTACAGGCTTTTCATGTCTATCTATCGATCTATCTATCGCAATCTCTTCATATTCATCTATATAGGGCGAATCACAAGTAGTGCCCGAATTCTGGGAAATCTTGGAGATAATATTTGTCTTGCAGATTATTCATTTTCTTAGTTAATTATTTTTGTTTCTGTTTTGCAGTTTCCTTGATAATTGATAAATTAAATATGTCTTTCATTGATTTCTACCTTCATGTTCACTGCAATACAACTGACAGCCATAAAAAAAAATCTGGCATTACTTTTGACCCACCCTGTACGTCTGCCAATCTACCTCGGTCGGTTTATAACAGCCTCTTCATAGCTATTTGTTTTATCTATCTATCTATCTATCTATCTATCTATCTATCTATCTATCTATCTATCTATCTATCTCAGTCTCTTTCTATCTTTATCTCTATCTAGGTATCAGTCTCGTTATATCTATCTATCTGAAGATAGATAGATAGATAGATAGATAGATAGATAGATAGATAGATAGATAGATATTAACAGACTGGTATAAACAGATTATGAACAGACATGAAGGGAAATCGATAGACAGAGGTCAGCAGACTTAGATTGGTAGATATACAGGGTCAAATGTATCTCTCTATATATAGGTTAAATAGCAGGGAAGACTTTGTAGCTCTTAATAAATGTTCTCTTTTTGTTATCTCACCTAAACTCTTGCGATATCAACGACGTTTCGGCTGTTGTACACTCCGGTCTTCTTCAGATGATTGGAGCGTACAACGACTGAAACATCGTGAATATGGCAACAAAGGTGAGGGCAACAGTCCAAACAATGTAAATAATATTATTTATTCCTATAAATTTTATCTTTTAATGGATGCTTGTTTGAGTAGACATTCCTATTTTTCGTTTTTGGTTTGTTTTGTTTTTACTTGTATATTTTTTTTTCTTTGAAACGGTGAAATTAATGTCCGTCGGCCTAAATATAAAAATATTATGCAACAATTCCTAGTGATAACAGACATTTTTAATAAAGTAAGTTAACTTGCTAAAACACATATTTAAAAAAAAGCAATTGATGTATGCAGTGACTTAATAAAATGTATTTTAATAATTAAATATTGTAAATGAATAATAATATAAAATTATAATATAATAAACAAAGAAAAATATAAGAATTTTTTTAAAAAATGTATAATTAAATATTTCGCTTTGTAAAAGAAAATACGATATTGCTTTCTTTGAGCAATAGATAATCACCACCAGGGGAGAAAAAGGAAATAGGGAGGGAGAAAAACAATACTGATGCTCAAAAGCGAACGGATGTTGAAATATTGTAGATAATGCTCTTCATGGACAAGATAGTTGCATATTTCTACCGACATTTGCATCAAATATTTGATCCCAAATAAAATGAAGTTGTAACATGATGTTACCCAAGACTAGTAAAGTAGGGTACTTCCACTTTCAAGGTATAAACTTCCTTCTTCCAATTTTCTCAGTTTGAAAATAATTTCCGACAGAAGTCAAAAAAACACTCCAGTTCCCAAAGAGAATGTGTCAGTGTTTAAGAAACAACATTTGCTGTTTAGGATTCTTTGAAAGACTGAGCGAACAACAGCTTTCAGAATAATTCTTCTTCTTCTAAGCTCTCAAATATCCTTAGAAATGTCATAATATGCTTGTCTATATTCAAAGCGGCGTTTTGATTGCCTAGCCATAAAATATGCAGTTACGTGCGACTTCTCGAAACCCAAATCCATTTCTTCCCCTTCAACAATTCGCGCGTGTTTTTATAATTATCACTTCTCTATCTTTTCATGCGTGTATTTTCCCGCCATTTTTCATGTCTTTACAAGATACTGTCTTTAAATTTCCACCGACTAGAGGCAATCTCTTGATGCAACATTCTCATTATAAGAATAAACGTATTTCTCTCTTTTCTCACTTCCTCCCTCTCTCTCCCTCTACCTCTCACTATCTTTTTCTCTCTTTCCTTTGTATATGTATACCTGTCTATATTTTCTTTATTTGTCACTTTTTTATTCGTTCTCACGTTTCTTGCTTACAAGTGGACGTTGAAAAATTCTGGAGCCGATGCACTTTCCAGAATCTGAACAAATCAACAAACATCAGATTTTTAAAAAGCATATTGGTTATGCTGAGAATTTTTCAATATCCCCCATCAAATACAAATATAAATAAGAATAAAGAACAAAAACAAAAAACAACTTACGGGAGGAGAAAAAGGGAGGGCTTCAGCGAAAGGAAGTACCTTATCAAAAAGGAGGATTTCGCTAAAAGGGAGTACTTCAGCAAAAGAGAGGACTTCGTCAGAAGAGAAGACCTCGGCAAAAGGGAGGACTTTTGTGTGTTTTAAAAGTCTCATCATGAACATCGTGATTCCCCACCTGAGGAGACGTTTAAAAAAGGTTTTCATTGTTTAACGTTAAAACAAAAATGTACAATTTTCTAGTGGATATATGCATGTTCTAATGTAACACTGCATAAAAAATATATAGTCTATTAAAAATTAAAAGGAAAAGTATTTTAAAATAGTAGTTAAATAAAACGTATTCTATTCTAAACATGCCAAAAAAAATCTTTAAGTATACAAATAGAAAAAATGCCGTAAGAATTTTTGCCGTTAACAAGAAAATTAAAAAAAAAGAAAACCCCAGACGACATGAATTTAACGGATATCAGAATTCGTTGAAAAATACATCTCCAACCATATCTAAACTTAACCCCTTTTTCGAACGTAACAAATAACTGATACAACAAAAGTTAATAAAACTGAATACGCTACCACCCCTTGTCTAGATGATTGGATTTCTCTGTATCCTTGGTAACCGTAAATTATGAATTTTCCTTGCAGTTAAAACTCAGTAAATTTTAAAAAATAAGTTACTTCAAAATTCACTTGAGAATGAAATGAAACTAATATTTTTAATTTAATTACAAAATTAAATTTAAAGTATTTAGCTTCCATTTTGAAACATAGTTATTACTGTGTAGCGAAAAAAACATATTTTAAATCAGTTAATTTCTAATATATATATATATATATATATATATATATATATATATATATATATATATATATTTACACACACACATATATATATATATATATACACACACACACAAACACACACACACACACACACACACACACATATATATATATATATATATATATATATATATATATATATAAAAGGCCGGGCAAGTCAACCAGGTTATCTCCAATGAGTGTCTGTTCCATTGCCTGCTGGTCATCCAGCAAGCCAACTAAAGCAAACATGAAAGCAATCGAACAAAACTAGAAAACCCAACCTCAAAAAAAGTAGACCCCAAGTATAACATCTATTGCACCAATGTAAGGGGTCTGCGTTCCAACTTTCCAGAAGTGGAACTCCATCTTCTTCAGTCTAAACCTGACCTCCTGTTCCTGTCTGAAACGCGTATCAATGCTTCAATCCTTTTGCTGATGCTCACAATCCAGGGCTACTCACCAATTATAACAAAATACAACTACTAAAATCGCCACTGTCACAGACTCGGTGCCTACATCAAGGTCAGGTTTCTCTGAGATATGGACACGAAAAACGAAGACCCTGATCTCCCGTATATAAGTTTCCGCGTGGCACTTATACATAGTACCACATTCGTATTTGTCCTGTATCGTCTTCAGGATGAAGTGTTGGTAATCTTCGATCGAATATCAGGTGAGGTTTAATAATATCCTTACCGAATTTCTCTCAGACAGATTTCACATATGCGGTGACTTCAATGTTCACCACAAAGAGTGGTTAGTCCATTCTAACAAAACCGATGAAAAAGGTAAAATATTGCAGAGAGATTCCCCATCGCATATGAACTAACCGAGATCATTGAAGAACCCAAGTCTTAGATGCGACGGGACATCAGGCGAACCTCCTTTTTTCTAACATCCTGCTCTGACAAATGTTCAGCAAACGTTTTAGCCCTTATTGACAAGTCAGATTATTCCCTAGTTAGTGTCTAGATTCACCCCAAACAAATAATACCCCCCCCGATTTACCATTCCAACAGTTTTTCGCTCTGAGGCGGCAGTCTGAGACAGCATTCGATCCTACATGAGGGAAGCCTTTCTCCAAACATGCTGCCCCTCCAAACTGCTGCCCGAATCTCCGAATGGATCCTCTCTTGGATGGAGCGTTTTATACTCCGCCCCCCCAAAATCCAGAAAAACCAGTCAGCCCTGGTTACCCCCTGAATGTGCTGCAGACATAGCTCAACAGAACTATTACTTCAAAATCTATCGCAAGGAACAGTGTAGTCTGGCCCTTAATTCTTTCAGAACCGTCTGCAATCGTTGTAAGAGAATCCTGGAAAACGCAAAGTGCCGTTACGCGCGATCTATCCAAGCCAAATTTCAAAATTCAAACCGGATCTCGGGATTTCAGAAAAATCACCAGCTAAATTATGAACAGAGGCAAAGCGTCTTGGTCCATTATTATAAATGTCATCCTTGCCTCGATATTTGCCTCAAACTCAAGGTTAGATGAAAAAGGCCATCCCCTCCTCACTGAGCACAATCACAAAAATATACTTATTTCAGCAAGACCCCAAAGAACCAATGGCCGAGATAAAATCTCAATGGTCGTACAATTATTTCCGATCCTGCTTGAAGAAGAAATCTTCACCAAGCCTGTGGAAGGCGGCAAGCACATGTCCGGTCTTCAAGGACACGGGCAACCCGAACCTCGCCCTCCCAGTATAGACCCATTAAGTCTCCTTAGTATCATCAATAAGCTTTTTGAGGCCTTAATCAACAAAAAGCTTCGTCGGGCACCTGGAGATGAACAACCTCTTGTGCGCCAAGCAGTATGAATTTCGATCAGCCCGACCACTTATCTCCTAACTACCATTACACACAGAATTAATGAAGCCCTTGATGACACATAACGCAAGGACCATGGCATTAAATATCTTGAAGGCCTTCGACAAGGTGTGGCACAAAGGCTTGCTACACAAGCTCATGTGTTTTCTCTATTATAAAATCCTCCATAACAAGTAGATCTCTGAAGGTGTTTATTAGCTACCAGTCCTCCGAGGCCCTGGTGGTCAACGCAGGCTTCGCCCAGGGCTCAGTTCTCAGATCAACCCTCTTTCTGATTTGCATAAATGATTTACCTAATATACCCCGATCATTTGTAAACGACTATGCCGATGATACGACGATATACGGACGCCCCTCTAAAAGTCCTGACGATCAGAGATTGGCAGCTGACCTCTCTCCCGATCTAACACTAACTTCCTAGTAGGAAAACACTGGTTAGTTACATTCAGTGCCTCTAAAACCAAACTATTTGCATTCCATCGCCGTCGATCAGACCCCGAGATACCGCCAGTCACGATGAACGGATATCCCTTCGAGAGAATATTGGGCCTCGAACTCACAC